GGCGGCTGATTAGTGTCCTTTCTCCTTAGAAAGGAGGAAAGGCCCCGTGCATGGAAGACGAACGTGTGGAGGAAAAGGCAGGAAAGATTACACAAAAGCACCCCGTCCTCCTCCCTTCCTCTGCACTGTAAACAGTGGTGCTTAAGCAGAAGCCACATGGCACCGGGCGGCTTCCCCCAAGAGCGAGGCCGGGAAGGCGGGAAACCCGAGGACGTTCTCCTCGCAGCATCTAGTCTGTCCTGAACTCTTTCCTCGTGGACAGAAAGACACAAGAGACCACAAAGGATTCCCGGAGAAGGATGGGGGGGGGGGGCGAAACGCCCCCATAGGACCAAGTTGTCATGAATCCACAAGGACAGCCACAGAAAGTCCCAGAAGAGTCCGCGGTGACCACTGATCAATAACTGGAAACCGAGGTGTCCTCAGACTCAGTGTCCTCTAAGGTGGGGATTCCCGAGTTCATGCATAATGTCAAGTACCCACAGGACACCTGGGTCTGCCCCAGGAAGGGCCTCCGTAACACACACACACACACACACACTTTGTCCTGCTTTTGGCTAGAACAACGACATTGACTGATCGCGACGGTGCCTTACCCTGACTCTCTGGCAAGGGCCGTGTCTGCAGATATTCTTCTATGTGAAGTACAAGCTCATCATTATCTAACAGCTGCAGGGTGCGGGGCAGACCAAGTCTTTCCAATGACCCCAGATCTGGGGAAGGGAAGGCGAGCCCCTCGGCCGGTCCAGCCTCCTTGTCCCACGGATGGTGGAGGCCTGGAGGAGAGCAGGGTTCGCTCAAGGCCCCACGGTGGAGCTGGGCCCAGAGCCGACTGCCGGATGCTCAGAGGACAGACGGCCTATGCCACCCGGCCAGTCACACGGAGCGATGGAAGCTGCCACCAGGCATGGGCAGGCCCTCTCCTCCATGCTGGGCAGTGGGATCCCGGCACAGGCTCCACAGAGAGCCACCAGGCAGCAGCTGAAGGGCACGCAGCCCCCAGCCCCGCAACCCCACCCCCGGGAGTTTATCCCATAGCTCCGCATGCACCTCACAGACGGCCCCTTTAAAGGCCCACCAGGGGGAGCTGCTTACGTGACCCGGGGCACATGCCCATGGCGGTGACTGAGCCAACTCCACACATGCCAATACGGGGCAACTGCCAACACACTGCTCAGGGGCAAAGGCTTTAAAAAGCAGGTGACAGCATGCCACCACCGTCACGGCCCGACATACATATTTTCATTATACCCAGCCAGAAACAGGGGAGGAAAGAAGATTAATAATTTACTGTATGTATCTTTAAGTCTTTGGAACTTTCTACATGTGAATAATGCAGTCAAGAAAGCAAACGATTCCCTTCACATGAAATATCCAGAACAGTAAATCTAGGCAGAGAGCAGCGTGGTGGCTCCGGGGCTGGGAGAGAGGGGCGGAGGGGCAGCAACAGCTCTACGGGGGCCGGGCTTCCTTTGGGGTGATGAAATGCTGGGGAACTAGGGAGAGGTGGCGTTTGCACATGATGAACGTACTAAATGCCACCGACGTGTTCACTTTAAAATGATTTTGTTACATAATGTTCGCCCCAATTTTGAAAAAGCCATAAAAATGAATGAATGAATGAATGAATGAATGGGGTTTTCACAGGTTGTCCTTGGGGAACAGCTTGGCAATGCTGTGAGAGGCATAGCCCTGGCGCGTGAGTCGGGGGCTCCCATCCTACCACACCCGGCACCACCTAGGAGATCTCGGGGACATTATGGAGCCTCTCTGAGCTTCGGTCTCCTCCTCAGCGCAGTGGACGTAACCACAGAGCCTGCATCCAAGGGTTGCTGTGACGAGTAAATTAAAGAGTCCACACCAAGTGTCTAGCCCAGCGCCTGGCCCCGCCCAGGCCCCAGGGCCTCTGCTCCTGCTGTCTGCCCTGCTGAGCACTGAGCACGCCCTCTCCCTGGGCAGACGTGTGGTCCACTCCCTCGCCTCCTTCACGTCTCTGCTCAAATGCCTCCATCTGGATGGGACCTTCTCTAACCACCTGATTTAAAACTGGAACCCTCCCCGCCCTGCGGCTCCTCTATCCCCTCCTCCCCTTAAACTGGCTTCTTTACTTTGTTCACGTCCTGTCTCCTCTACTGCACTGTCCTCTCGGGGAGGCAGTTTCTGTCTGTCTCCTTCTCTCTGTGCCCCAGGGGAGACGCTCAGTAGGTACGTGTGGAAGGAACGAACGGTGTTCACTAATACCTCCGCTCTCATCCCGAGTATAATCCTGCCTCCCTGAAAAAAGAAAGCCGTTGTCTTGTTGTTTAAGCAGCTTGAAACAAAAGAATCAAACAAAAGCCTAAATTTAAAAACCCACAGTATTGCCAGCTCAGCCCTAGTCCCAAAGGAAACCATCTGCGGAGAAGAGGCAGTTCTCTGCGAAATGACGCTACGTGCTCGAAAACATCAGCCACCAAAAGTCACCCAGTGCGGGGTGACGTGGCCACCGCGAGGCTCTCAGGAGCAAGAACACAGTGCCAGCCCGGCCGGCGTGGCTCAGTGGTTGAGCGTTGACCTACGAACCAGGAGGTCACGGTTCGATTCCCGGTCAGGGCACATGCCCATGTGGGCTTGATCTCCAGTGTGGGGCGTGCAGGAGGCAGCCGAGCAATGATGCTCTCTCATCATTGATGTTTCTATCTCTCTCTCCCTCTCCCTCCCTCCCAGGACTCTCAGGCCTCAGAGGGAGAAATCGTGATCCCAAGAATCCAGAGTTCAAAAATGAAAAACAAAAACACAAAAACAACGCCCAAACTCTTCTAAAAATAGGCTCTTTCAATTAGGTCCCCTCTGAGGCGCCACAGCCTTACTCCACAGAAGATTCGCTCGCTGCTTCCCGCGGCCTCCAAGCCCTGGGCAGAGAGAGCCGAAGCCAGCCGTCTCCCAGAGCGTGTGGTTTCAAAAGAGCATAAAGCAAAATCTGCAAGTTTGAGCAAAACCAGAAAGGAGCACCTTCCATCCTATGGTCAGCAATCTGCGGGCTAGCGGGAACCGGGTGGGTGTGTGGGGGGGAGGGGTTGAGTCAGGAGGCAGCTCGTCCACGGGTCTCAAATTTCCTCGAATGTCAGGCTCACTCACCTGGCTGGTGAACATGCGGATGGCCGGGTCTCACCCCAATTTCTGAAGTAGTAGGTCTGGGGTGGCGCCCGATAATTTACATTTCTAACCCATCCTCAGGGGAAGGGCTAGAGAGAGAACCACTGCTCTAGAACAAATAGCTTCATGTTAGTGTGACACCTGCCTCAACTACACACGGTACCTGCAGACAGACAGACAGACACACACACACACACACACACAGCCTTACAGAGCCCCTGCCTGATCACTGATCCTCAAATAGCCAGACCTGCCTGGCCCAGCCAACTACTGAGGCACCGCTCAGGGGCACGGGGACCAGAGAAAGCTGCTCCCATTCAAGTCTGAATGAGCCAGTCACCGTGGGGCCCGAGGGCACACCCAAAACCCTTGAAAACCGAAGTCACAGCATTTCCCTTTTTTGAAAGCAGTCACAGGCGATCCCACCCGGCTTCGCCCTTCACACATGGGTAACCCCCAGCTGCAAGATCCGCTTTCTGCCAGGGATGCTTTCAAGTTTCTGAATCAGAAGAAGTAGCTGAAAGAGGAAGCAAAAAAAAAAAAAAAAAAGTTGATGTTTCTATCTCTCTCTCCCTCTCCCTCCCTCTCTGAAATCATTAAAAATATATTTAAAAAAAAGAAAAGAACATAGTGCTACCACGGGAGCCTGGGACCCAATGCCCACCCCTGGACAGAATAGTCCATTCACAGAGAACAGGGAGGTTGGGAGCATCCA